GTGCGTGCGTGCGTGCTTGTATATGTGTGTGTGTCTGTGTGTGTGTTTGTGTGTGTGTGTATGTATGTATGTGTTTGTCTAGAGAAGAAAGGGGGTGGGGGTGGGGCTGAGCGTGCCAACAATATTAAGTACAAATTCTGAGCCTATCCGTTCTTGAGCGCTTGCTCGTGGGTACTACGTTTGTTTGTCTACGGGAATATTATATTTTCGAACATGTACTTGAATGTGTACATGTATAATTATGTGCGCGAAAGCGTGCCTTTTATGTATGTGCCTGCTTGTATTTCATCTTTTATCTCTGGATGCTGTAACAAGCATACACGTCATTCATATATATTAAAACGTATTTTCGCTGTTGTTATGTTGATAAATCTACCTGAATAAGGATATCTTAAAGAGCTGCATTCTAGTCCCTTCCCACGCAATAACTAATTCTAAGATATAAAGACACTGGTTAAGAGACTTGAATCTTCTACGGGACATAGCCAAAACGGGATGGTTTAAAGTCACTTAATCCCCAAACATAGTCTAGAATGTCTTTTTCATAATCTACTCTGCATTCTGTGATTTGCCTGTCGTTGGAGACAGTATGCCCAATGTAAGCGGAAAAGGTAAAAACTTTAAAGAAATAAAAGGGTTCAATGGGCGCTGTTCGGTTAGATTCGAGCTCGGGATCGCTGAGTTGGGGGTGGGGAGGGGTGGTGGGCGGCGCATACAATTCGATAATTACCTCGACACGCAGAAAATCAACAAACATTGGCCACAGATTTATTTTCACTTAATAACTACACGCAACCGTTTATTGCCCACGCAATTTCCGGTTTGTCCCTTACTTGTGGCGCTGTAATCTGACGTCTGTCCAAATACATCTCCCACACTTCCGGTTCGCCCAAGGCGCGTGGAAGTGATAGTCTAAGACTAGTAGAGCTTGGACAGCTGTAGATAGTGACGTTAACGATTGCTGGAAAGATATGGAGGGAGAGGGAGGAAGAGGGAGGAAGAGGGAGGAAGGGGAAGGAAGAGGGAGGAAGAAGGAGGAAGAGGGAGGAAGAGGGAAGGAGAGAAAGAAAGAGAGAGCGCGAGAGAGAGACAGAGAGGGAAACAAAGAGACAGAGACAGACAGACAAACAAACAGATAGAAAAGAAAAGAAAACGTCTTTGAGAGAGAGAACAGAAGAGATAGGGAGAGGTGGAGAGAAAGAAAGAAAGAAAGAGAGAGAGAAAGAGAGAGAGAGATTGAGAGAGAGATAGAGAGAGAGAAAGAAGGTAAAAGAGAGGCAAAGAGACAAAGCGAGAAAAAGAGTCAGAGAGTGAGAGAGAGACTATAAATAATTGTATCGTATTTTATGTGTTGTCTGCAACGAGTTTTGTGTGTTTCTTGCTTTGTTTGTGTGTGTGTGTGTGTGTGTGTGCGT